TGAATTTTAGAGAATTGATTTTTGAATTATCTCCAACAGTGAAAAGAAATGTACGAAAGATTGAGAAAATTCGTGTTAGATTTATTAATCTTACTTTTTCGGTCATATTTAATAATATATATATATATATATATATATATATATATATATATATATATATATATATATATATATATATATATATATATATATATATATATATATATATGTCGTACCTAGTAGCCAGAACGCACTTGTCAGCCTACTATGCAAGGCCAAATTTGCCTAATAAGCCAAGTTTTCGTGAATTAATATATTTTCTCTAATTTTTTTCTTATGAAAAGATAAAGCTACCCATTTCATTATGTATGAGGTAATTTTTTTTTAATTTTAGTTAAAATTAACGTAGATATATGACCAAACCTAACCAACCCTACCTAACCTAACCTAACCTATCTTTATAGGTTAGGTTAGGTTAGGTAGCCGAAAAAGTTAGGTTAGGTTAGGTTAGGTAGGTTAGGTCGTCGAAAAACAATTAATTCATGAAAACTTGGCTTATTAGGCAAATCGGGCCTTGCATATTAGGCTGAGAATGCGTTCTGGCTATTAGGTACGACATATATATATATATATATATATATGTATATAAACATATATATATATATATATATATATATATATATATATATATATATATATATATATATATATATATATATATATATATATATATATATATATGCCGTACCTAGTAGCCAGAACGCACTTCTCAGCCTACTATGCAAGGCCCAATTTGCCTAATAAGCCAAGTTTTCATGAATAAATTATTTTTCGACTACCTAACCTACCTAACCTAACCTAACCTAACTTTTTCGGCAACCTAACCTAACCTAACCAATAAAGATAGGTTAGGTTAGGTTAGGTAGGGTTGGTTAGGTTTGGTCATATATCTACGTTAATTTTAACTTCAATAAAAACAATTTGACCTCATACATAATGAAATGGGTAGCTTTATCATTTCATAAGAAAAAAACTAGAGAAAATATATTAATTCAGGAAAACTTGGCTTATTAGGCAAATCGGGCCTTGCATATATATATATATATATATATATATATATATATATATATATATATATATATATATATATATATATATATATATATATATATATATATATATATATATATATATATATATATATATATATATATATATATATATATATATATATATATATATATATATATATATATATATATATATATATATATATATATATATATATATATATATATATATATATATATATATATATATATATATATATATATATATATATATATTATTAAATATGACCGAAAAAGTAAGATTAATAATTCTAACACGAATTTTCTCAATCTTTCGTACATTTCGTTTCACTGTTGGAGGTAAATCAAAAATCAATTCTCCAAAATTCATTTTTATTTCTAGTCTGACGCGACACGAGCGCGTTTCGTAAAACTTATTACATTTTCAAAGACTTTAGTTCACAAATACACAACTGAATAGAACTTACGCATCTCCGATTTTATATCTACATTTGCGTGAGGTGGAAGGGGTGATGTGGCATTAACACAAGACAGAACAAGATGTGGTATTAATAGGGTATTAATTTCATCAACACAAGACAGAACAAGAGTATTAATAGGGTATTAATTTCATCAACACAAGACAGAACACGAAACAATGGATATTGAATAGAAGTGTTTGTAGAAAGCCTATTGGTCCATATTTCTTGATGCTTCTATATTGGAGCAGAGTCTTGAGGTGGGTAGAATATAGTTGTGCAATAATTGGCTGTTGATTGCTGGTGTTGACTTCTTGATGTGTAGTGCCTCGCAAACGTCAAGCCGCCTGCTATCGCTGTATCTATCGATGATTTCTGTGTTGTTTACTAGGATTTCTCTGGCTATGGTTTGGTTGTGGGAAGAGATTATATGTTCCTTAATGGAGCCCTGTTGCTTATGCATCGTTAAACGCCTAGAAAGAGATGTTGTTGTCTTGCCTATATACGGGGTTTTTTGGAGCTTACAGTCCCCAAGAGGGCATTTGAAGGCATAGACGACGTTAGTCTCTTTTAAAGCGTTCTGTTTTGTGTCTGGAGAGTTTCTCATGAGAAACTTTTCTTACTTTTTCGGTCATATTTAATAATATATGTCTACAGGAAAGACTGCTACCAAAATATACTAATATATATATATATATATATATATATATATATATATATATATATATATATATATATATATATATATATATATATATATATATATATATATATATATATATATATAAAGTTTGTGAGAGTACCACCTCTGGTGCCAATGTGGGGACCCATAGCCTCGGAGAAGAAAATAAAAAGTATTCAGAGGAGACCTTGTGGTTTCTCACTGAACACTAATATTATCTTCTCCTACCACCCCCATTCTTTTGTATGTACACATATATATTTACTTTATTTGAACTTTGTTACAAAAAAGGAGTTACATATGGGTTACAAAGATGGTTATCATAGGTTGTCGAGTTCCTCCAGCTCCTCAGATGGCGGGCAGGAACCCTGGATGCAGTGCGCATTTCTCCTCTGTATCGCCACACTGAGGCGCTGGAAAAGAAAGCTTGCAGCTCTTGGGTCCCTTGTTGTTTCAATGAGCCTAGAACCCAGTTCCTTCAAAAAACTGGTAGCACTTTTACCCCAGGCGCCGAGTGTCTCAGAAGCAATGGGGACAAAATTGTAGTGGTGATCCAGTTCTCCATACTTACGGGATTTGGCTGCTTCCCTGTGGGTGGCAGTGCCACCTGGTTGTGCAACACTGAGGTTAATGTAGGTGTTAGCCAGGGTTGATACGCACGTGTAGTCCCATACCAACTGCTTGCCATTCTTCCAGCGGTTCACTGTGATACCATCCGGGCGACCAATAAGAGCATCAGAGTTACGGGGCGCTAGGTAACGGGGCTCTCATTCAGCTGGGTATCCAGCTGTGGTGAGGCTCCTCTTGATGATGTCGTTAACTTCACTGTGCCTCGAGTGCCATCCCTCTGTGCTTTGGCAGAGTAGGCCATGGTGGCCGTACCTGTCAGCCACCACCTCGCCACAAATACACCTATATCTGGTGTGGATTGGGGCAGCAAGGCGGAGGGCCACAGCAATTCGGAGGGCGTGTGGTGTGAGATGCGTGCCAGTTGCCGACATTGGGGTTGCTAACAGGAAATCCCCTGCATGTGGTGCTGCTACTGCTGTGAGGCGAGCAATGTCATGTTGTGTTGTTGCAGCACCTAGGCACTCTGCAGCAACTTGGTCTACAATGGGGCCATCCCAGCTGGATTGCTTGTGGGCTTTTAGGGATGGTGGTTGAGGTGATTGGTTTGCACGAGAGGCCCACTCTGTGGCACAGCGTGTAAAATTGGGATCATGTACACCTGCCAGCTGATGTAAGTGGGCAGGTAGAATTTCATTCACAAGGTCGTCGGATGCTGATAAGGAGGACAGGAAGGCTGGAACAGCGATTTGCGTTGCTGTTCGAACTCCGAGGCCCCCAAGTCTTACGGGAAGAGAGGCTTGTTTCCACTGTAGGTCATCGAGAGAGAGGTTAAGGGCTTTTTCTAGCATTGATTTCAGTAACCGGTCATACTCACTTAGTTTTTGGCTACGGTAAGATGGTGAACACCTCAGAAAGTAAGTTAACCTGGGGAGGGACAGACATCTGGTGATGAGGTAGAGTGCATCATGAGCATCAATATCCTCAATCCTCCCATCCATCCTCTTAAGGTCGGCAATTTTCTTATCAAGGGGGAGTCAGCTGTCACGGTCTGCTTCCTGCGGGGTGGAGGCCTGGTCGAGGACCGGGCCGCAGGGATACTAAGCCCCAAAATCATCTCAAGATAACCTCAAGAGATATATATTGGACTACACTTGCGTATCAACCTTAGCCAACACCTATGTTAACGTCAGTGCAGCACAAGCAGGAGGTGCTGCCAATCACCGGGAAGCAGCCAAGTCATGTAAATACGGAGACCTTAATCACCACAACAATTTTGTCCCCATTGCCTCAGAGACACTTGGTGCCTGGGGTAAAAGTGCTGCAAGTTTTTTGAGGGAGCTGGGGTCCAAACTAATTGAAACAACTAGAAACCCTAGAGCCGCCAATTTTCTCTTTCAGCGCCTTAGTGTGCGATCCAGAGAGGAAATGCTCACTGCATCCATGGTTCCTGCCCGCCATCTGAGGAGCTGGAGGATCTGTACAACTTGTGACAAGTAGTCTTGTATCTTGCATGTAACTATTGTTGTAACACTTTTTGTGTAATGAAATTTTAAATTAAAGTTAGATATATACACACATATTAAAAGAATAGGGGGTGTTAGGAGAAGAAAATATCAGTGTTCGGTGAGGATCCACAAGGTTTTCTCTGAGTACTCATTATTTTCTTCTCCGAGGCTATGGGTCCCTATACCTGCACCAGAGGTGGTATCCCTTTTTGGTTTAAAATATATATATATATTGGATATGAGAGCATAAGAATGGAAGTAACTGCAGAGGGCCTGCCGAGTATTCTTCCTCTTGATGCTTCTATATTGGATCGGAGTCTTGAAGTGGATAGAATATAGTTGTGCATTAATTGGCTGTTGATTGCTGGTATTGACTTTTTGATGTGTAGTGCCTCGCATATGTCGAGCCGCCTGCTATCGCTGTACCTTTCGAGGATTTCTGTGATACAACACAGAAATATAGCTATTATTACAGCTATATAATAATAGCTATAGTTCTGTATAATAATAATAATAGCTATCTGTATACAACACAAATAGCTATTATTATAATTATTATTATTATTATTATTATTATTATTATTATTATTATTATTATTTTTTATTATTATTATTATGCTATTTTTAGGTCACACAAAGAAGTCTGCATAAGTAATAGCTGTAGTAATGATAAACTAAGCCATCTTCCCTTAGTAACGACACAATAATTCATCAGATCCGTGCCGTCCTGAAAATTGTCTGCTGCATAATCTTCGCAATTTTGATGACGAATTACATACTCCAATCCAGCTCTCAACAAACATATAGTGAAGACAGCGACATGTGTGCAGAACAGATTCTGAATATCAGTATGTATCCGAATTCCTGACCCCTTGTTTCCTTTATGCAATGTTTTGCATTCTTACCATTTTGATGGATATTTTATGTATTATCTACCATAATATGTCGAATATATGCTATAGTATGTAACATAATGTGACATATTATGCTATAATATGAAACATTAACTGAAATATTGTGTTCTACAGAATGTGACATAAAATATGCATTATACACAATGATGGGCTGATATGTGTCGGAAAATCCGACACCATTTAATAATATCATACAGGCAGATAATATTGCTGTGTTGTATAAACAAGCTAACCCACAGAAAATGTAACTTGTATTGGAATTTCCGTCTATAGAAAACGGGATATCATTACCACATACTATTATAAATTCACCACCTATTATGGTGGGAATTATTCTTAAATACATTAGTCTTTGGACTTTACCATCATAAAAACATCTCATATAAATTAACTTAATTATCAGAATTAAAATAGAGTAAATGTGACCCTTCTATCACTTACTGTCATCTGGACAATGTAGGCCAGTAGCGTCAGTGAGGAGGGAGTGGTCAGCCATTGTTATTGTACTTAGACCAGAGGCACGGGAGCAATTCGGCCTCTGTTAATTTTACTTGGACGAAGTGTTATGGAAGCCAAAGGTGTACCATCATCAACACGCTGTCAACAAATACAAGTTAAGTGTTCTGCCGAAACCCATTTATCTATCATTTATGGCCATTAATGTCATTAGATAGGGGCGAGCCCGTTAGAACACGAACTGCCTTTTAATAAAAGGTAATTAAGCCTAGGTCTTTATGGTTCCTTGTACAGTGTTTTCTCTGATATAGCTGTCATATATTAGGATTCTGGCTTCATAGCTAGCGCCCTTTTGACAGGTCAAGACGAGGAAGCATACTTTGTGTACCAGTTACTGGGTGATGGAAGCTACCTCAAAGAGGATAATTCGGTGTCTACATCCTAGTTATATCTGGTGGACTAAGGCCTGCTGTACAATAAGATAAGGAACCTCTTCAATGTACACTAATGTGTAGTTATTACTGTAGTTTGATTGGCTGCATATATATAAATTTAATATAAACCCCCCCTAATGTGTAGAGGATCGATTTGTGAGATTATTGCAGAAATACAGTCCACTTAACATCATACAAATTGCTATCGAAGTATATAAATTAACGTAAATATAAATTCATATAAATTAAATAAATATAAATCTCACAGGTCGGTTCCCACAATATGTGTAGCATAATATATTATGTTGTATATGCTATAATATGTGTTATATTTACCCTAATACGTGGCACAATGAACCATAATATATGACAATGAATTACAAAGTGATAAGATGATTCATGGTATATTATAAAATATAATCACAAGAGTATCAATGAATCACTAATGGTATAATGAATCAATCAGTACATCATTATATGCTACCATAATCATAATATGTGATAAAATGAATCATAATATAAAAATAAATATACTTTGAGCTATAGAGACGTGAGCTATGTTATATGGCATAATAGGTGCTTGTCTGTATATGTAATATGTACCTTAGTATGTCATAAGACATGCTATATTATGTATCATAATATGTGTTACAAATAATATGTGATACAAATAATATGTGTTACAAATAATATGTGTTTCAAATAATATGTGCTATGATATAAACTACAATATGTGTTTCAATATATGCTATAATGTGCCATGCTGTGTGCTATATTATACTTTGTGCCATGCAGTGTGCTATATTAATAATTTGTCATTATACGTGCTTAATGTCATAATATGTAAAATATATGATAATTTCATTAAGACATATGCGTTAATGTAATATAATCACATATGCATTATGAATCACATTATAACATATGTGATACATTGTATCGCACTATAACATATGTGATACATTGCATTATATGTGTCACAATATTTAGTATAATGTATCATAAAATACGACTGAATGTCATAATATGCGCTACAATATTTGTCATGTCATAATGTATGTTGTAATGTATCATAATATGTGCTTCAATATGTGTCATGTCATAATATGTGACGTAATGTATCATAATATGCGTTCCAATTTGTGTTGAAATGTATCATAATATGTGCTACCAAGGTACATGCCAGCAGACACAATGATATCATCACATCAGTGCATGCCTGCAGACATAATGATACCATCACATCAGTGCATGCTAGCAGACACAACGATATTATCACATCATTAATGCCAGCAGACACAATGACACCATCACATCAGTACATGCCTGCAGACACACTGATACCATCACATCAGTACATGACAGCAGACACAATGATACTATCACATCAATACGTGACAGCAGACACAACGATACCATCACATCAGTTCATGACAGCAGACACAATGATACCATCACATCAGTAAATGACAGCAGACACAATGATACCATCACATCAGTAAATGACAGCAGACACAATGATACCATCACATCAATGAATGCTAGCAGACATAATGATACCATCACATCAGTGCATGCTAGCAGACACAATGATACCATCACATCAGTACATGCCAGTAGACACAACGATATCATCACATCAGTAATGCCAATAGACACAATGACACATCACATCAGTACATGCCGGCAGACACACTGATACAATCACATCAGTAATGCCAGCAGACACAATGATGCCATCTCATCAGTTCATGCCAGCAGACACACTGATGCAATCACATCAGTAATGCCAGCAGACACAATGATACCATCACATCAGTACATGACAGCAGACACAATGATACCATCTCATCAGTACATGCCAGCAGACACACTTATAAAATCACATCAGTAATGCCAGCAGACACAATGATGCCATCTCATCATTTTATGCCAGCAGACACAATGATATCATCATATCAGTACATGCAGGCAGACACACTGATACAATCACATCAGTAATGCCAGCAGACACAATGATACCATCACATCAATACATGCCTGCAGACACACTGATACACACAAATCAGTAATGCCAGCAGACACAATGATATATTCACATCAGTACATGCTAGCAGACACACTGATACAATCACATCAGTAATGCCTGCAGACACACTGATACAATCACATCAGTAATTCCAGCAGACACAATGAGACCACCACATCAGTACATGACAGCAAACACAATGATACCATGACATCAGTGCATAGCAGCAGACACAATGAGACCATCACATCAGTATATGACAGCAGACACAATGATACCATCACATCAGTGCATACCAGCAGGCACAATGAGACCATCACATCAGTACATGACAGCAGACACAATGATACCATCACATCAGTGCATACCAGCAGACACAATGAGACCATCACATCAGTACATGACAGCAGACACAATGATACCATCACATCAGTGCATACCAGCAGACACAATGAGACCATCACATCAGTACATGACAGCAGACACAATGATACCTTCACATCAGTGCATACCAGCAGACACAATGAGATCATCACATCAGTACATGACACCAGACACAATGATACCTTCACATCAGTGCATACCAGCAGACACAATGAGACCATCACATCAGTACATGACAGCACACATCATGATACTATACAGAATAAACTTGACCTTGACACACTACACGAATTTGTTAATGAAGAACCTACCCTGCTGGTCGGTGATCGTTAATGCCAGACACCCACACTTTGGTGCCAACTGTCATCAGACCAATGTCAATGGACGGAAACTGTAACTCAATGTTAAGAGAAGTGAAAATGTTAGGATCCAGGTTGATGACCAGCCAACTCACCTCGGTGGGGGATTAGACTAGGATCTCCTGCTGAATGCACAGGACACGGATGCCAGAACACATATTGTACACAGTTTATGTATTGACCTCTGGACACTGATTACCACCGTCGACATGAGCAAGGAAAGGAAAGAGGCAAATCAAACAAACAGTTTATCACTCAGACCAGATATGAGGCCCAAACCTCGTAAACAAGATAATTAAGTGACTGTTTTACGGAATACTAAATCCCAGAGGACATTGATAAATTTGTTTATGACCTTAATAACCAAAGTGAGAGCTGTCTCAAAGTCCGACGTACCCCTCAGAAGAAGAAAATAAAATGGCATGAGAACGATTACATGAAGATGCTCAATGCAAATGTAAGGGACATGAGTAGAGAGTACCGGAGACATCCCATTACTAGTAACCAAGAGCTGTTTAAAACTGTGTGTTAAGTAGTCAGAGAAGAGTAAAGTAAAGAGCGGTAAAGACAATGGCTTGACTTCACTAGCTCTATTGGAAGAGAAACATCTGCAAGGCAAGTGTACGCCAAAATTCAGATAGCTAAGCGGAGGAGGGGGGGGGGGGGTTAAGACTAGGCCTGCGGCTCACGGCTCACAAAGACCCCAAGGGTAAACCTAAGGAACTAATACACAATTGGAGTGATGCATCCTCCTACTCACTCTTTGCAGAAATAAGCAGGGAACAGCTGCAATATAATGACAAAAGAATTAGGATAACAAGAGCTCAGTCTAACGATGACGAGTATGGGCAACCAATCACGGCCCAGGAAGTAAGGGGGAGCTATGAGAAAGGGTAAAGGTATAATACCTGGTGAAGATGGCGTCACCTACGACATACTCAATGCACTGTGTGAGGTGGTTGGGAATCCACTACTCCACCTGTTTAACAAATCATTCCTAAGTGGAGTGTTGCCCTCACAATAATTGTTCCCATACCGAAGCCCAATGACCCTGACAATTACAGACCTATCCGTCTCGTGTCATGCACATGCAAGGTACTTGAAATTATCATTCTAAACCGACTGTTGCACAAAATAGGAAGACTAGGGTAGGGGGTCAATAGATATGTTACAGGACGGAGCACAGCAAATTGTATAACTAATTACAGGGTTAATGACACAGCTAAGTACTCTGTATTTATTGACATCAAACAAGCTTTAGACAAAGAAATAGGGATTGCGGTCCTGAACGTTCTTGCATGCGTGGGTGTCAAGGGGAGACTCATGAAATGGATTGCAGACTACCCCACCGGGAGAAAAGCCAAGGTCTGCTTTAACGGAGTAGTCTCGAAAACAATGAGTATGGAACTCGGGACCCGCCCCCCCCCCCCGAAGGAGGGTTCTTAAACCCCCTCACTATTCAACATACTTATGAACGCCATTTCAAATATTGAATTTCCGGAAAGGACACAACAAGTGGGATATGCAGATGATGTACTAAAACTTCAAAGGAGTCCAGTGAACTCCTTGGAAGGAAATGTGTTGATCTCGGTTTCACTCTCTCCACAAACAAGACAGAAGCATACTCTCATCACAAGCGGGGATAAAATGAAGAACTACAAATTAATGAAACACTTCAACGGGTTGACCACTATCGGTTTCCTTAGCGTCACTGTCGGCTCTTACAAGGGGAAGAAGTGGGAGCTCAACCAACTCATAGGAACATGCAAAAGTCGATTCAGGACACTGAAAGCTATGACCAGGAATGGGCATGAGGCCTCTATTGCCATGCTTAAAATTATGTACACAGCATATTTTTGCTCAGTCAAAGACTATACTGCACCAGTTTTGTGCACTTATTCCCAAACGAACATGAAAAAAACTTGAAAACATACAAAATTAAGCCATGACAATCATTCTTAGAGTCCCAATAACTGCCAGAACATCCAATCTATGAGAGAAGTTGTCCCTCCCCAGTGTTTAAAGCAGAATTAAGGACCTGAATGCTAAGGTTGCAATTAAGATAGCCAGAGATCCCCATTACAATGATATTTCCGAGAAAAAAACGGAGTTCTGTGCTACTTACAGGAGGAAGAAGGAAAAACAAAAAAAAGCATCACAGATCAGTCTGCTACCGCGAAGAACTTCTCCTGCTTGAGCATGCCTGTGAACTCGTGCCTGTAAAGGAGAGTTATCCTTCCTGGGAGGATGACCCATGCAGGATATTATCAATGACATGACAACGAAAAATCCAACATGATATAACAAGAAATGAGGCACAAGTATTTGTGGAAATTTATGAAGAAGCCGGAATGAATTAGATAAAATCTAAACTGATGGGTCATCTAATACTGGCAATGGCAGGGCTGGTGCAGCATACACTGTAATTAAGAATAATGCCCTTCAACAATGGATATATAGAAAAGGCAAGTATTGAGCTCTTCAACGCAAGCAGAGATAACTGCTATTGTCAAGGCGTTCAGATTCCTTGAATGAAACACTAACGGTGCATTGATCTACACTGATTCAAACGCAGCACTACAAAGCCTTAGTATAAATCAGACAGAAAATCTTGCTGAAAATCTTGAAATTAAAAATCGATGAAATCATGAGAGCTCTGAGAATATTAAACAAACAGGGAAGCGTCGTCAAATTTCTGTGGATCCCCTCCCATGTTTGAATTTGTGGAAATGGACGAGCAGAACGAGCAGATGTAATAGTAGATGTATTATAGTAATAAGGCTGCTGAAGGCGCTGAAGGAGACCATATTGAATACTTCATTCCCAAGACTCTTCTACAAATTAGAGGTATTATCAGGCAACATCACCGTGACAAGGTAACTGAGGAAAGAAGGATAGAAAAACAAATCATTGAATCTATACGCTGGTACAATATGGTTGCAGCTGGCAATCTCAATCATTATGGACTAAGAGAAGGTGGCCGCAGGAGGGAATCAGTAATAGCAAGAATCTGTCTTGGATACAAATATCCATGGAGATTCGGAATGGAAGCAACAGTTGAGCAGCAGAGTTGCAGAATCTGTGGTGAGAGTGACGGACACCATCTTGACTACTACTTGAGAGAATGTGAACATCTAAGAGTAATTAGAAATATGTGTTTAATAATAAACCCCACACTATTTGAGTTAGAAAAATACATCTTGTCATATATAGATACAGCTCTTTAAAGATTCCCCCATTTTGCATGCGCAAGATTACGTAATATTTTAGGGGTTACAAATGTTAATCTTTTTGTTTGATAAGCTGTTCACTTGAGACAGCTAAGCAAGTCCCAGCTCTGTATCTGGGTACAAGTGATAGGATGAACAACCCAGCGGGTTTTCTTCCAATTGCGGGGTGTTGTTCATGCTGCTATGGTGGTGTGTCCAATAACCTCGCCCGTCGGGGAATTTTGGGGCAATATTCAAATAAAAGAAATGTGCTTCAATATGTGTAGTAATGTTTCATAATATGTGCTGTAATGTAACATAATACGTGCTACAATATGTGTTGCAATGTATCATAATATGTGCTACAGTGTGTTGTATTGTATCATAATATGTTCTACAATAAGTATCATCTCATATTATGTGTTTCAATGTATCATAATATGCGCTACAATGAGTCATCTCAAAATATGTGCTGTAAAGTATCATTATATATGCTACAATATGTGCCATATCACAATATGTGCTGCAATACGTTTTACAGTTGCTGTAATGTATCATAATATGTGATGTAATGTATCATAACATGTGATACAATATATACTCACGTGTTCTGAAACAAAACACAATAATGTATTTCAGAGGGAAACGACATTAATTTATTTCATGTATGTTACAGTCTATGGAATTGTGGCCTTTGGTGTAGTGACGAGCGTCATTCAACTAGTATTGAGCATTATTTTCATCTGTGGCATTTTCAAGGTAAGATTTTATACCTATGATGTAATCCTCAGATGGTGTGGCTGTCGCTAAAAGAAATCCATCATAATACACGTTTTGTCACGTTTGTTTTTTTCTTTTGGATTTTACGTCCTGTTTATTACATCTATTTAATGCAATTTTGTCTCATATCTGTTCACTTTGACATTTATTTAAATTTTTGTTATAATTATAATAATGCAGACAATTAGTATTTACATGATTTTAGATAATAGGTATAGCCTGTTATTTAAGGTGTTTCCAAGTGTTTTACATTATTGAATTTGGAAAACCAAAAAGAAAAGACATTAACTAAAATGTTGACTGTGAACGACGGTAAAAACCTGTCGTGGTATATTGAGCGATGTATATCATCGCTTGATCAGTCAGGTTAAGCACTTTGGGGTCAGGCAAGTAACTGAATGAGTGATCATAATGATATAATTATTAGTTCAACTACAGGAACTTCGACGAGTCTAGGTCATCTTGATTCCAACAGAGTATGCTCATACTCATATTTCTTACTAGCTGTACCCGGCCACGCGTTACTGTGGCTCAGCAACGCACATGCGTTGCTTAACCAATGCACCCTTTCCCTGTCTCCTAGTCCGCCCCACTATTGCCCATGGCCCATCCCCTCATTCTCCCAACCATTCCTCACTCACCCGTCTCCCTCTTCCATCCAACCATTCCTTGCTCACCCGTCTCCCCTCTTCCATCCAAGCATTCCTCACTCACCCGTTCCCTCTTCCTCCCAATAATTCCCCACTCCCGTGTCCACTCGTTCTACCCACTATTCCTCCCCTCCCACGTCCCGTTGTCCTCCCCAACATTCCCCACTCCAGCGTCCGTTCGTCCTTCTAACCATTCCTCACTCCATCGTCCCCTCCTCCTACCCACAATTTCCCATCCTCTCATCCTCCCTAAGATTCCCCCCTCCCCTGTCCCCTCGTCCTTTCCACCAACCCCTACTCCTCTGTTCCCTTGTCCTCTCCACAAATCTCCATTCCCCTATCTTCTCGTCCCCAACTGCCCCGTCCCCTTGTCCTACCCAGTATTATCCCCTCCCCTGTCCTCTCATCCTCCCCAATATCCCCCACTCCCGACCCCTTGTCCTCCCCAACATTTCCCACTCCCTCGTTCGATGCATTCCCAAACGATCAGAAAAATAAGAACAGCAAATGATCTGATGTTTCCATCACTGAAATATAAGAAAAACAGATAAAAACGAAATTAAAAAATTGAAAAAATACAAAAATAAACTTTACTCAGGAAATGAACGGTATGGTAAACAACACAGTTCAACTTCAATGCAATGTCACACAAAATATATTAAATCCAAATGAAAATAAATCGAAATTTATGAAAATTAAATTTATCAATGCAATCGGAAACATTAAAATGGAATCGTAACATATTTAGTATAGAGTGAGTTGCTATTACGTGCAACAGATGGCGCTGTTTTTCAAGAAAGCATGTTTTTACATCTCACAGGTGGGGCATCTATATAGTCGGTATATAAAAACACGCGTATATTCGAATGGAACATTGTATCAACATCTCAAAGCAATCAATGAAGAACTTTCAGAGATTTCAGCGTGTGTTGCTCTTACGTCCAACAGATGGCGCTGTTTATCAAAAAAACACGATTTTTCCTGTCACAGGTGTGGCATGCATATAAGAGGTATATAAAAACACGCGCCTATTCCAATGCAACGTTGTGTCAAAACATCAAAGTAATCGGTAAAAAGGCTTCAAAGATTTCCCTCCCATGAAAAACACATGAAAAAATACAGTTTTTTAAAAAAAGCATATTTTTTTCCCGTCACAGATGTGACAACTATATAATATGTATATAAAAACCCGCTCAGATGCGAATGGAACTTTGTGTGAAAATTTCAAAGCAATCGGTGAAAAAATTTCTGAGATCAGCGATTTTAAACAGACGAACATGTACATTTTTATATATATATATATATATATATATATATATAATATATATATATATAATATATATATATATAATATATATATATATATATATATATATATATATATATATATATATATATATATATATATATATATATATATATATTATATATATATATATATATATATATATATATATATATATATATATATATATATATATATATATATATATATAATATATAATATATAATAACTTTTTAGACACACAATCCAACAGGGGGACTCGAAACACTGGCCAACAAGGTGGCAGTTGCACGCTGTATCCACTACACAATACTTCAAAGCCATTGAGAAGTAGGAATTCTGGGGTATTTAACCCACCAGAACTCCATACCTCTTCAGGCAATGAGACAGTGTGGGACCTCTAGTGCTCTCAGAGTTCCGTGCTGCGTTTCACTTACGAGATGGAAAAGGATGGGAAGCTGCCCTTTCTAGAAGTAACAGTCATGGAAAAGAGCGGAGGTTTCCACACTGCAGTCTACACTAAGGAAACGAACATAGGAATGTTTCCTAAATGCCAACAGCGACTGCCCAGACAGGTACAAAAGGAGTGTTGTTAACGCATATGTCGACTGTGCTCTCAGCCACAGCTCAGAATGGAAGCAAGTCGACGAAGAACTCTGTAGGGTAAGGCAGGTCCTAGTCAACAACGGCTTCTCCAATGGTTTCGTCGAAGACATCATAAGAAGGAAAGTGAAACGCCATGCACCCTCTGAAGAGACAACTAACACAACACCTATACCCCCAATTAGACTATTTTACAGGAACTTCTTTTCCACAGCTCATAAAATGGAGGAAAGGGTCCTGAAAGATATTGTTAATAGAAACGTTATCCCTACAGACAAAAATCAGAGGATACAACTGACGATTTACTATAAAACCAGAAAAACGGCCAGCCTACTCATGAGAAACTCTCCAGACACAAAGCAGAACGCTTTAAAAGAGACCAACGTCGTCTATGCCTTCAAATGCCCTCTTGGGGACTGTAAGCGCCAAAAAATCCAGTATATAGGCAAGACAACAACATCTCTTTCTAGGCGTTTAATGATGCATAAGCAACAGGGCTCCATTAAGGAACATATAATCTCTTCCCACAACCAAACCATCGCCAGAGAAATCCTAGTAAACAACACAGAAATCATCGATAGATACAGCGATTGCAGGCGGCTTGACGTTTGCGAGGCACTACACATTAAGAAGTCAACACCAGCAATCAACAGCCAATTAATGCACAACTATATGCTACCCACCTCAAGACTCCGCTCCAATATAGAAGCATCAAGAAATATGGACCAATAGTCTTTCTACAATCGCTTCCATTCAATACCCATTGTTTCGTGTTCTGTCTTGTGTTGATGAAATTAATACCCTATTAATGCCACCTCACCCCATCCACCTCACTCAAATGTAGATATAAACAAATCGGAGATGTGTAAGTTCTATTCAGTTGTGTATGTGTAAACTAAAGTCTTTAAAAATGTAATAAGTTTTACGAAATGCGCTCAAGTGTCGCGTCAGACTAGAAATAAAAATGAATTTTGGAGAATTGATTTGTGAATTACCACCAACAGTGAAAAGAAATGTACGAAAGATAGAGAAAATTCGTGTTAGAATTATTAATCTTACTTTTTCGGTCATATTTAATAATATATATATATATATATATATATATATATATATATATATATATATATATATATATATATATATATATATATATATATATATATATATATATACATATATATATATATATATATATATATATATATATATATATATATATATATATATATATATATATATATATATATATATATATATATATATATATATATATATATATATATATATATATATATATATATATATATATATATATATATATATATATATATATATATATATATATATATATATATATATATATATATATCGTCATCCCCACCATTCCTAACTCCCTCGTACGATGCCTTCCCAAATGGTCTGATGTCATCATCAGATTTCATCAGAAATTTATATATATATATATATATATATATATATATATATATATATATATATATATATATATATATATATAATATATATATATATATATATATATATATATATATATATATATATATAATATATATATATATATATATATATATGTCGTACCTAGTAGCCAGAACGCACTTCTCAGCCTACTATGCAAGGCCCAATTTGCCTAATAAGCCAACTTTTCATGAATTAATTGTTTTTCGACTACCTAACCTACCTAACCTAACCTAACCTAACTTTTTCGGCTACCTAACCTAACCTATAAATATAGGTTAGGTTAGGTTAGGTAGGGTTGGTTAGGTTTGGTCATATATCTACGTTAATTTTAACTACACTAAAAAAAAATTGACCTCATACGTAATGAAATGGGTAGCTTTATCATTTCATAAGAAAAAATTTAGAGAAAATATATTAATTCAGGAAAACTTGGCTTATTAGGCAAATCGGGCCTTGCATAGTAGGCTGAGAAGTGCGTTCTGGCTATTAGGTACGACATATATATATATATATATATATATATATATATATATATATATATATATATATATATATATATATATATATATATGTCGTACCTAGTAGCCAGAACTCACTTTTTGGCCTACTATTCAAGGCCCGATTTGCCTAATAAGCCAAGTTTTCCTGAATTAATATATTTTTTCTAATTTTTTTCTTATGAAATGATAAAGCTACCCATTTCATTATGTATGAGGTCAATTTTTTTTTTATTGGAGTTAAAATTAACGTAGATATATGACCGAACCTAACCAACCCTACCTAACCTAACCTAACCTATCTTTATAGGTTAGGTTTGGTTAGGTAGCCGAAAAAGTTAGGTTAGGTTAGGTTAGGTAGGTTAGGTAGTCGAAAAACAATTAATTCATGAAAACTTGGCTTATTAGGCAAATCGGGCCTTGAATAGTAGGCCAAAAAGTGAGTTCTGGCTACTAGGTACGACATATAT